GCCGCAAACTGCTGCCACCTCCAACGTCCGCCGTTCTCGAACGACCTGTTCAGGATGCCGTAGGTGATGATGTTGGGCCCCAACTTCACGACCGCCATCTCGCTCAGCAGCGCCGCAGTTTGCTGCCGCTGCCGAAGCCTGCTCTTCTCGCGCGCCGCGTTCACAATGACGTCGATGATGTTGGGTTCCGGCTCCAGCTTCACGGTCGCCATCTGGCTCAGTAGCGCCACGATCTGTTGCCGCAGCGAACGCCTGCTCTTCTCGCGCTCGCTGCCCACAGTGTCGTAGACGATGATGTTGGGCGATCCAGGGTCTGAGTGGCTGCCAGGGGGGCGCGGGGGCTCGAGACGTCGCCGCTTCCTTCTGGCTGGCCTAACGGGCCCACTATCACTTCGGTGAACCGATGAGACCGATGAGACCCACCCTACGTCTGATAGCCGTCTGCTCGCGTGGGGGAGTGGAGATGCCGGGGGCGCGGCTGCTGGTCGTCTGATCTTCCCATTCAAAGGCCCGACGTCCGCGCCGAAAGCCAGGGGGGCAAAAGAACCGGGGGGAAGGGGAAGGGGAACGGCTGATGGCCGTCTGCCCATGGAAAGGATGAGGAGGCACCCTACTACGGCTGATAGCCGTCTGATCACTAGATCGGACAGCATCGCCAGGGTTGCGGCTCGGAGACGACTCTCGCTCACGGCTGGTAGCCGACTGCTCACTTGGCATCCTTGCGGGCGCCCCCTCGCACCCAAACTCAGGTCGCGGCTCTGGGGGGGCCTCCGACGGCAGCCTGCTCCTCGGCCCCAGACCATGGGCCCATCTCACGGCTGATTGCCGACTGCTCGCTTGGGAGAGCGGGGCTGCCAGGGACACGGCTGATAGCCGTCTGCTCGCGTTCATTTCCCACTGCGTTGCCGGGGCCGGGGAAATCAGAGCACGGACAACAAACGCTTCGAAGGCGCGCGCGGCGACCCCGACGCATGCGGCGCCGGCCGCGCCCGCGGCGGCCGCGGCGGCCGCGGCGCCCGCGGCGCGGACGGGGCCGGCGGCGCCCGCAGCGCCCGCAGCGCCCGTGGCGCCCGCGGCGCCCGCGGCGCCCGCGGCGTGGGGGAGGCACCCGCGGCGCACACGGCGCCCGCAGCGCCCCGGCGCCCCGCGGGCCCGCGGCGCCCGCGGCGCCGCAGCGCCCGCGGCGCCCGCGGCGCACGCGGCGAAGGCGGCGCAGGAGGCGCCAGCAGCGCACGTGGCGCACGCGGCGCCGCGGCGCCAGCGACGCCCGCGGCATCGCGGCGCCCCCCGCGCCGCAGCGCCCGCGGCACCCGAGGCGCGCGCGACCCGCTCGGCGCCCACGGCGCCAGCGGCGCCCGCGGCGCCAGCGGCGCCCACCGCAGCCGCGGCGCCAGCGACGCCAGCGGCAGATCCACGCCCACCACGCCAGTGGCGGGCAACTCCTGCACGTCGGGCTCTACTGGCCCCTGCTCCGCATGCACTTCTCGCTCGCTACTCTGCGACAGTGCACACGCAACCCACATTACTCAAACGGCCTCGCTGGTCGCTGACCGCGCTGTCCATGCCGGCCGCTCTGCAGCTAGCCCTCGGCGGGCGATCCGAGCAGCAGCGGCGCTCTTATACGTCGCCAGAGCAGCTCTGCCATGGCGGCCCCGCCGCCGATGTAGCAGGGTGAACGCAGAGATCTCTCCGTACTGCAGGCGCACGTGCTCCGCCTGGCCGGCGTCGTCGTCGGGGAAGAGCATGTACAGGCCACCGTGCTCCAGCGGCTCCGGCGCCGACACCCAAGGCTGGCGGGGATACTTTTCCCTCGCGGGCGCGAGCGGACGCGCAGGCGCCGAGTCGAAAGGTCCGGGCCGCGGGCCGATCTAATTGGCGCGCAAGCCGAGAAGCGCAGCGACCGAGCCCGAAATCAGAACCTACCGCCGGCGGGGCAGCTGGCTGCGGCTGAGCTGGCTGAGCTGACAGCAAACGGCCAGGGTAGCAGATGCAAGCGCGCGGGTGAATTAGGTCGCGCACGCCAGGAGATGTCGTGACCTGTTCTGAATCTGCAGACCAGACGTCGGCCAAGCGAGGCAGTGCCACCATACGGACAGACCCGGGACGGCGGCCGACCAGGAACAGGGCCCGAGAGGTGCAATCGCGCTCGAACACAAGAGGGTACCGTGGGAGAAAGGCACCAGGTACGCAACCAGACCTTGTCGCCACAGGCGCCAGGGGTCATGGCCACAGCGGCTGGAACGCGCCGAGCCAAGCTGGAAACGATGTGCCAAGCTGTGCGCAAGCCACTGCAAGAAGGCTGAACCACTCCTGAGTGGGCGGCAGACGAATTCCCATAGGGCCAGCGTCAGTCGGCCAGCTGAAGCAAATGCAGTAGACCAGAGGCCCATGGGTTGCAGACGCAAACGCGGGGACTGGCCAAGGGGCGTGTGTCGGGGACGCCACACAGAGGGAACCGCGTATTGCGCGGGAAGGGGAGGCCAGGGCAGGTGGGAACTGACATCACCTGCCGGCGAGGGAAAGAAGCGTCCTCCAGGACTGGTGGGGATACTTTTTTTTTTGGTCGCGGCCAGGCGGCGAAAGCAAAGTCCGGGGCGCGAGCGAGGCGAATTAGCTACAACAGGCGCACAGACCGGCCAGCCCACTCACACAGCAGCCGCGAGGCTGAAGGGGAGCTGACGGCGGGGGGGCATCCTGAGAGCTCGAGCGCGTGCACGAGGTGCCTGCCATGGAACGACCCACACAGTAAGAGACGATAGCCAGGATAACCAAGTCCGTCGAAATGATGGGGGCAAGCGGGAGGCCGGTGGAGTGAGTCGCCATGGGGCGCCAGGCTCCAAACGCCGTGACGACGTGAGCTAGCCGGGTGGGCTGAGCTGTCGCGACCCGTGATGCAACGCAACTGGGGAAAGCTGATGGTGAGCCTAAGGTGCTGTAGCTGCTGCGGAAGGCTGAACCACTCCGTGGCGATGCCAACACCCGTCAGACCATCCCACAGTGCAAGGGGGAACCAAGCGACTGAGTGCCACGCAGTGCGTGCCTGCACGGCGTCAGGCCTCTGAGTGAGGGGAGGAAGACCAGCTGGCGTGGTGAGCATCGCCAGCGGGGAAGTGTAGGGGGGGCTGCACTGGTGGAGGTGCAACTGGGGAAAGCAGATGGTGAGCCTGGAGTGCTGTACCTGCTGCGGAAGGCTGACCCACACCGTAACGAAGCCGACACCTGACAGACCACCCCACAGCGCAAGGGGGAACCGAACGACTGTGTCTGGTGGGGATACGCGAAACGTCAAGAATTTGTCCCGGAGCGGCGCACTGTGGATCCAGAGGGATGCAGCTCACGAGCGACGGAGGCCAGGCGCTGGTCCCGCGGGGAGCGCCTCGACTTCCTGGCCAAGAAGCTACCCCTGGGACGGCAGGCGCGCAGCCCTGGCCGACATCGTCGCATGGAGAATCACGACCAAGGGTAGAGACAAGACTAGAGTCGGGGAGGACAACGTGCGACCGGCTTGGGAAGCTTCCCTGGGGGCCAAGGCGGTGGTGAGGAGCACGGACACTCGCCGGCGCGACGCGGGGGCCCTGGCTGCTAACTACCGCGGGCCCGACGGGGCGCCCAGCCCAGTCGCGGGATCAGCCGCCGCGCCTGGGGCTGCGGCGGACGACCCAGGCACTGACGCAGGCCGCGCTGGCAGCCCAACTACCCAGAAGCCTCAGGCCTCGAGCCCACCAGCGGACGCCAAGCGCAGCAGCACCGCACGGCGGTCGGGCCGTCCCGCTCCCAGAGACAACGGCCGGGCCTCAGCAGCGCCCAGACAGATGGGGGAGGCCGCTCACCCCCGGAACCCGAGGGGTGCCCGGTCAAACGCAGCGGCAGCGCCACACCAGACTGGAACGACGATGCGAACAAGCCTGGCACGCCGCCCGCGCCCCTCCCCCTGCGAGCAGCCCGACAGACGCGCCCATAGCTCCGATGGCGAGGAACTCCTTGTCAGCGGTCGTGGCCTGCGTCGAGGATATGTCCCCTTGATGAAGCCCACCTTCTCCGGGCAGCGCCTGGGCCCTGCACCCCCCCCCGTCAACCTGGGGAGCTACATTTTTGCTCCGGACGACGTTGGCGACTGCAGGCCCGACTGCTGGAACACCCGGGCCAACGAGACAGGGGGGCGGCTACAACCAGACCTGGGAAGGGGGAGGGTCACGGGACCGGTTGAGGAGATCCAGAAGGCGGAAGAAAGCGGAAGGATGACAACCTGCGCATTCGCATCGGCGCCAGTAGAACCGACGGCGGGGCTGGGACACGAACGGCGCGGTGGGCGAGGCCCCTGCACAGAGGGAGTGGCACGACCCGCAGGATTGCCTGACCAAGACGTCCAGGCGCGACATTCTGTGGGCCCCGCAGGTGGGGGGAGGCGGATGGCAGAATCGAGACCTGGCCTGAAACAATAAACCGCGTGGACGTCGCCTGCGGATCCCTCTCCGTTAAAAGCTGGAACATGGCCTGCGACAAGCGCGATGGGAAAGGTTACGGAAAGGGGACAGGACATACAACCCCCGCGGTTGCGACGGATTCAACCGCGTCTTTCTTTGGGACCTGGTCGAGGTTCAGCACGACATCCGCACCTTGTGCCAGTGCCGCAACCTCGATATCGACTAGAACGCAATGAGCCGCCAGAGCCAGGCAGCCGGAGGGAAGGGTCAAGGAGGCAAGCGCCCCAGTGAGGCGTCCTGGCCCACTGGGGACCAGCTCCGGCTGTGGAGGCTCTAGCGGCGCGGACGAATGTGGCCCAAAAACTCCTCCTGGGCCCGCCGGGACAGAAGAACACCCTTTAAACACATGAGACCCTCCGTCTGCCTAACTGAGGAACGTTCGAGGGTGCCCTCCCCCAGGACGCACACGACCATCCAACAAACACGAAGGACATCAGGGTTCCCTCCCCGAACCGACCTTGATCTGATACCGCGGTCCGACTGTAGTCTCACTCTGACTCCTCCCCGTGGGTGTGATGATGACAGTGAGCTCACGAATTTGCTGATGAGGAGCGGGCGCCGCAATGGCAGGAGGACGATGCTGAGCACCATGAGCATCAGGATGATGGGCGCGAATTAATGAGGGGCGATAAATGGGAGAGAAAAAATATGCCCTTCTCGGGCCTTGAAGGCCTCCTCGTGGGCCCCAAAGGGCCCCTTTAGGGACACTACATGGTCCCTTTTCGGCAGCCCTCGCTGCCCCCTGATGAATCGCCCATCCATTACGCGCCCTCCGAAAGATGATGATTAGGACGAGCTCTGGTCAGCGCAGCCATGCTCTGCCATCTCACTTCTTGCCGCCGTCGCCCATGGCCCTGTGGCGGCCCGTGGTCTTCGTGTGCTGACCGCGCACGCGGATGCCCCAGTAGTGGCGGATGCCCCTGTGGAGGCGCACGCGCTTCATCCTCTCCAAATCCTCTCGGAGAGCCTGGTCGAGGAAATTCGCGTACTTCTGCGAGGTCTTGCCGTCCTTGACGTCCTTCTGACGATTGAGCATCCACGCCGGGATCTTGAACTGCAGCGGGCTGCTGGCGACCGCCACGATCTTGTTCACCTCGTCGGTCGTGAGCTCGCCGGCGCGCTTGTTGAGGTCGATGTCGCACTTCTTGCAGATGATGTTCGAAAACCGCCGGCCAAGGCCGCGGATTGCCGTGAGCGCGTACATCACCTTCTGCCTCCCGTCCACGTTGGTGTTGCACATACGCAGGATGTGCCAGGGTTCGACCGAAACAACGCTTTGGAGGCCTCGGGCCGTGTTCTTTTCAAGACGTGAAAACTTAGGATATGCATTTTATCTGGTCAAGACGTTAACAACTTCCTCCAGGGTGCTGTCTTGGTGTGACTCCGGAATTGCGATCGCCCCTGGACGAAAACGGAACGAGAACGTAAACTGCCGACGAGCAATACCAACACAACGCTTCTGTCGACCCCTGGGATGTGCTGGAAGTTCTGAGACTGAAACTGCACCGACATCGCTGCTCGCTCTGGGGGGAGAAAGGATACTGGTGCTGCTGCTCCCCAAACATCTCCCGGGGTGCGCCCCGACAACGATTTCGAGGCGGATCCAGCCGTAGCGACGAGGGACCGCCAGGAGGCCCAAAAAGGCAGAAACGTGCAGAAACCGAGAGAAGGGTATCGTCATCGCTCCAGGATTTCGAGTCGAATCCGGCCGTGTCGACAAGGGACCACCAGGAGGCCGCCGAAGAAGGCAGAAAGCGAGGGAAGATCATCGGCACCACTTTCTCCTGTTATGCTTGCTCCACGCTCTGCGGTCGCGGTTTCTCGCTGGGCTCGAGGCCGCGGGCCTCGTCGTGATCTCGAGCCAGGTGGCTGGCGGGCAAGCAGCGGAGACTGACCGGACGTTTTCGAAAGACGAGGGCATCCGATCTACGACCCCGACCTGGCCATCGCTCCGACGTCCGTTCCCCGTGCGTTGTTCGATTTCGTGCGTTTACTTGTTCGCAGGCTGATCCGAGATGCTCCTCGATGTTCCTGGCCTGCGAGAGCATGCGCACGTCCGAGCGATGCCAAATGACTGCGGTCACCCTTGGACCACGTGCCGCGCGCACGCAGACGCGCCGAGCGGGCCACTCGCGGAGGAGGAGGAGGAGGAGGAGGAGGAGGAGGAGGGGGAGGAGGAGGGGAAGGAGGAGGAGGAGGAGGGGGAGGAGGAGGAGGAGGAGGAGGAGGCGGGTCTCTGACGCTGCGAGCTTTCCCTCAGCGGCTTGCCTAAGAGAGGAAGCGGGTTTGTCGGGAGGAGTGCGGGAGGGAGGATGGGGACCCCGCGTCTGGAGGGCCGCGAGTTCTCCCGAGGGCCCCGCCGACGCAGCGCCTGAGCGCGCCACGGTGCAAGCGCTCAGAGGCGTGGCCGCGACGGGGGCATAGTGGTCGCCAGCATGCACCAGGCGGCGCCGCGATGTCGGTGTTGCAGAAAGGGATGATGAAGAGGCGTGTCGGTTGGGAGGAGGGTGTGAAGCTTAGCTGCCCGGATACGCAACACGCAACACGTGGCGTAACACATACACTGAAAACGTAGGTCTGGCGCGATGCGTTCGCCAAAACCTGGACCAACACGTGCCGAGCCAACACGCAACGCATTGTCACGAACGTTTTGAACACAGCACGTGTTGCGTCATTGACAACACGGGCGTATCAGGGCAGCTAAGGTATGAAGGAAACCCTGGGACAGGCGCCCCCCGATCGAAGAACAACACATGTTGTACCTCTCTTCGGACGGGAACTATGAGAAAAGCTGTGGAGGACGGCGGCGTTCACTATGTATGTTTGCGCCTCTGCGCCACCTGTCGCAGTGCTCCACCAGGCTGGTAACAAACGTTTGTTTCACGCACGACAGGTTGGAATTAAATTTGTTCAAAGGAATGCCCGACCCGCCTCGCACACACTGCACACCGCCGCCGCCAGGCCCAAAGTTTGAAGGTGCTCCCTGGGTGCCCCGCCTCGTGCCTTCGACCAACGGCGCCTGCATGGTGTGTCCAGCAGGCCACTGGCGTGCCCGTGCCCCCTGGGTATACCGCACCTCGCGTTCTTGGGCGGGGGTCACTAGAAACACCACAACTTTAACCATATGCTGATTGGCTCTTCGTACATGGTAAGATCGACCGGGCCAGGGGTGGCTGGCTGCGGTGTGGCAGCGGGCGGAGCCTTGGGGGCGAGGGACTGTGGGCCTCTGCCTCGACACCTGACCTAAAGGCAGGTAAAACACCGGCTAGGAAAGGAACTGCTGCTGAAAGGTTGGGGAGGCGAGTCCTCCACGGCGCAACGTATAGACTTACCAGGAGGAGCAACCTTATCTCCAGCGCCGTCGTCGCAAACGCAGCCCGAAGAGGTCACAGGTCACAACAGCTGGTCACCGCTGACTAACATGTGCTCATTGCCGTCTGATGTCAGAGAGATCCACTGCCGCCATGACCGCCTCAGTGGCCTTGGCGTCGCGGCCGCCGCGCGCGAAGGCTAGGAGGTAGTCGGCACCCTCTGTTGCCAGCAGCACCTCGTGCCGGAACAGGTCTCCCTGACCAAGAGCGAGCGTCCGAGGGCATCGAAGGCCCGAAGGACCGAGATCTGCGCGAAATCGGCTCCAAGTCCAGATGAGCGACGAGAAGAAACGGGTCTTACGCACGATGACAGAACGACCTTACGCGGAGGCTTACGTGGATCGCCAGCGTGGCACGCTAAATAGGAAACGAGGCGCTTACGCGCTGCCTTACCCTGGAGACTTACGCGCGAATGTCCTCGCAGTCAATTGTGCTTCTCTGGGCACTGGCACAATTCGCGTGCCGAGCAGGCAACGAGTACCGAGGTCTCCGGCGGATTTCGGGCGGACCTCGGTCCCATGAGCCCAAGAATTCCTGCAGGCGCAGGCCCCCCTGGCCTTCCGTGGCGTGTGCTTGACGAACCCGGAGATCGCGGGCTCCGCGCCGCCAGGATTGCAGAGGAGGAATAGCTGATTCCGCTGGGCATCATCCGAGAACAGGACCACCTCCGCCTCCGCGTGCGCTCGCAGCCACCCCCTGCACTGCATGAAGACGCCGCATACGTCCGAGCCCTCGAGCTGGCCCTTGGTATCCGGCGCCTGCAGACACGGCAGAAGGTCTGGGACCATGCAGTGCGACATCACCCCCTCGCCCGAGTCGCTGTGCACCTGTGCAGTGTAGGAGGGCGGTGCACCCCGCGGCCAGGGATCGGCGATGCATCGCCGATGGGTCGGCGACACGGCCCCGATGGCACGGCCCCGATGGCGATGCCGCGCGCGGCTTGGCAGGGTGGCACCGACGCCCCAATCGGCGATAAACGGGCGATGCGTGGTCGATCCTTCGCACGCTAGGGTCCCCATTCCCCCTCCCGACCAGGATCCGCCCCAGCCCCCAAGAGGCGTCCCACGAGGGCCTCGAGAAGCAAAAATCGTCCCACTCTCTTGGGAACACGTACATTTTCTGCACATTCGCTCCTTGGACGTTCACAACGTCCCGGACGGCCCAAGAGGCCATCAAGATCGCCCCAAGACGGGTCAAGAGGCCACCGAGAGGGCTCCAAGACGACCCAAGAGGGCCCCAAGACGGCCAAAAAGCCCCCAAGACGACCCAGGACGGCTCCAGGACAGCCCGAAGAGGGGGCCCAAACGGGGGAACACGAACGGACATTTCGAGTCTGCCACCCCAAGACGCCTCCGGGTTGCCCCAAGAAGCCCCCACAAGGCCCCCAGGATGCCCCCTAGAGATTCAAAAACTGCCTCCAAGACGCCCCCGAGACGCCTCCCAAGAGACCCCATCAGCCATCCGAGTGGCCTCAGACCCGCAACCTAGGCACGGTGGCGGGATGTGCCAAAGGCCGTTCGATCCGCCGCCCCCCGTCGCTTCAGCAAGAGGGTGCCCGGCGTGCCAAACCCTATCGGTTTTGGTTTTGGTTCTTTTCCAAAAGAACTCTCCCAATGGGCTCTGGCGCGTCCCGCCGGGGCCGCGGAAGGCCCGGAAACGAGCTCAACGACCGCAAACAATGCTCCGTGAAACGGCCGTTTCGCTCGGGACATTCTCAACAAATCGCGAAGATGGCCCAAGATGGCCTCCAAGTGCGCCCAAGATGGTCCAAGACGGCCTCCAAGACGGCCCAAGAGAGTCCAAGACGGCCCAAGAGGCCCCCCCGAGGCCTCCCAGACGGCCCAAGAGGCCTCCAAGAGGTCCTCCAGGAAGGCCCGAAGAGGCCGAAATCATTGGTTTTTACTACGTTCTTGAACGATTTTGGAATTTGCCTCTTCTCGGCATTCCGACGGCTCAAGACGGCCCAAGAGGCCCCCAAGATCGCCCAAGAGGCCCCCAAGAGGGCCCCATGACGGCCCAAATGGCCTCCAAGACGGCTCCAAGAGGGCCCCAAGATGGCCCAAGAGGCCTTCAACACACCCAAGATGGCCTCCAAGACGCCCAAGATGGCCTCCAAGACAGCCCCGAGGTGACCCAAGAGGGCCCCCAGTCGGCCTAGAAAGGCCCCCAAGACGGCTCCCGACGGCGTCAGACGTGCCAGGACCTTACCAAGATGGCCGAGGTTGGCTCGAAGCTGGCCCAAGACGGCCCAAGAGGCCCCCAAGAGGGCCTCCAGGAAGGCCAGAAGAGGCCAAAAACATTGAATTTCCTAAGGTTGCTGGACGGAATGTGACATGTCCTTCTTTTCGGCCTTCCGACGGCCCGAGACGGCCCAAGACCCCCACAGATCGCCGAAAGATCGCCCAAGAGGCCTCCAAGACGGCCCCGAGACGGCCCAAGAGGGCCCCAAGAGGCCGCCAAGACGGCACAGGAGGCCTTTAAGACGCCCAAGATGGTCTCCAAGACGGCCCTGGAGCATTCCAAGAGGGCCCCAAGTCGGCCCATAGAGGCCCCCAAACGGCTTCCGACGGCGTCAGACGGACCAGGAGCCCACCAAGACGGCCGATCATGGCCCTAAGATGGCCCAAGACGGCCCAAGAGGCCCCCAAGAGGGCCTCCAGGAAAGCCAGAAGAGGCCAAAAATATTGATTTCCCCACGGGTTTTTGAAGGATTGTGGCATTTGTGTTTTTCTGCCTTCCGACGGCCCGGCCCAGGTGCCCCCAAAGATCGCCCAAGAGGCCCAAAACACGGCCCCAAGAGGCCCCCAAAACGGCCCAAGAGGTCTCCAAGACGCTCAAGATGGCCTCCAAGACGGTCCAAGAGCCCTCCAAGACGTCCTCCACGAAGGCCAGAAAGGGTCAACATGGCCTCCAGACGGCCAAGATGACCTTCAAGATGCCCACGTGTTCCACGAAGGCTTTCCAAACCGATTCGGGGAACACATGGTCCGATAGCTTGGCAGGTCTGGCCTCAACGTTCGGCCACATAGGCGCTTCCACAATGGCAGGGGGCGGCGGTGATTCGCCGTAGGCGTCTTCGATCCGCCGCCCCCCTTCGATGTATCAAAAGGGTGCCTGGCGTGCCAGATTATATGGTATTATATGGCATTTGGCTCAAGGCAACAAGCAACAAGCATCAAACATAGTCTGCATAGCTTACTTTTCAGCACAGCACTCACAGCTTACAACTTTTCTGCCAAACGACGGACATCGACCGTTGCTCCTCTGCCCCTCCAACTTTGGACTCACCCGGGAAAGAGTCGTCGCGGCCAGTGCGCAACCGGCGGCGGCATGCAGCTACAGTGGAATTTCAAAATTTGGTAATGAGTCAATTTGTTGAAGTTCTCCGCCGGTTGGATTCCATAGATGCACGCATTACTCCTCAAGCGAAGCATGATCCAGACAATGTTGCGCAAGATATTGAGAAGGACGCCAACACTTTGGTAGAGATCGAGAAGAGAGTGCGCAGTATGGAATTACTTCTGTTCCGCACTAGTTTGCATGTTTTTCAATACGTTGATGCGCTGGTGGCAAAAACATAGACAAATTGGATGAACATTGCAAGGGACGCGAAGAACCAGATGCCGAGAAATCGCCGAAGAAGGAGCCAGATTTCTTTGACAGGAAAGCCGCTTGTGAATCAAATTCTTGGAATGGATCATTTGCGGAAGCAGCAGTTTACGATATGTCAGACAAAGACGTGGCAGTTCAGACGACCATCTTGGAGGATAATTACGTTTCCCGCACTTCCCAAACTCAATCATACATTTCAGACAAGGATGTGGCAGTGCAGATAAACAGTTTGAGGGAAAATTCCGCTTCACGTGCATCCCAAACTCAATTGCTCCCCAAACCCCGGCGCTCACGGTGCAATGGTCGAGCAACGCAAACGGACATGATTGATACTTGCAACACGGGCGTGCAAATTTGCTCTGGAATGGCTCCCGTACCTTTGCAGACGCCATCCGGGAGTACAACGAGCGAGAAGTCTGACATACAGGCAAACACTTCGGATGTTGCGCCGGCAGCTCTAAGCACCAATATGGTTGATTGCACACCAGACCAGAATGAAGGGCACGAGGGGTCGTTGATCTTACTGAGCTTGAAAGGCCATATCTCAAAGGGTAGCCGTGTACAAAGTTTGCAGGGCGGCACTGTGAGATTGAAAGGTTTTGGTGGGCAGCACTTCGTGACAAAATCCTCTATTCTTTCAGTCCGGAGCTTCTGCCGTAATTAACGGGGTGGTCGTCGAAGACACCGCTGACGCATCCCTGCTTTCTGAGTCAAATACTCGTGTGTTTGGTATGTTGATTGATCCAAGCATGCAGTTTCGCACCATTGTGTGATTCCCCCCTCCCCCTCCCCCTCCGGCCCTCCTCCCTCTCTTCCCACCCCCAGCGCTTGCATTTGGCAAGCATGCAAGTCATGTCTCGAATTCTGTGCGTGCACCGGGCCGGCCTCCATGGAGTGTAGGTCTGCAACACTTTCGCGTTTCCTGCCAATCTGTTTTCATGGGATCCGTGAGCCAATCGTGCTCCTGTCGATTCCTTGCCGATGCGCCGTTGCTTGGACTCTCTCATTTTCCAAAAGAACTCCCCCTGGGGCTCCGGCGCGTCCCGCCGGCCACCCGGAAGAGGTGGTTGCAAACGGTTTTCCTGCCCCAGACGCCCCCAAGATGGCCTCCAAGACGGCCAAGACGCCTCCAAGACGGCCACGATGGCCTCCAAGACGACTCAGAGGGCCCCGAGATGCCTCCAAGACGGCCCAAGATGTACCCAAGACGGCCTAAGATAGCTTGAAGATGGCCCAAGACGGCCGACGAGGCCCCCAAGAGGCTTCCAAGACAGCCCAAGAGGCCTCCAAGAGGTCCTCCAGGAAGGCCCGAAGAGACACAAATCATTGATTTTCATTAAGTTTTTGAAGGATTGTGGCATTTGCGCATTTTCGGCTTTCCGACGGCCCCAGACGGCCCAAGAGCCCCCAAAGATCGCCACACGATCGCCCAAGAGGCCTCCAAGGTGGCCCCAGAACGGCCCAAGAGGCCCCCAAGACAGCCCCAAGAGGCACCCAAGACGGCCCAGGAGGCCTTTAAGACACCCAAGATGGCCTAAGTCGGCCCGGAGAGGCCCTCCGAACGGCTTCCGACGGCGTCAGACGGGCCAGGAGCCCACCAATACGGCCGAAGATGGCTCTAAGATGGCCCAAGACGGCCCAAGAGACCTCCAAGAGGGTCTCCAGGAAGGCCCGAAAAGGCTAAAATTATCGATGTCCCATGAGTTTCGGAAGAATTGTGGCATTGTTTTTTTCTGCCTTCCGACAGCCCGAGACGGCCCAAGTGCCTCCAAAGATCGCCCAAGAGGCCCCAGACGGCCCTCAGAGGCCTCCAAGACGGCCCAAGAGGCCTCCAAGACAAGACACCCAAGACTCCCCCTCCTCATCTCCTCCTCCTTATGTTCCTCTCCTCCTGCTCCTCATCCTCCTCCTCCTCCTCCTCCTGATCTTCCCCGCCATCTTCCCAGAAATGCTCCCCGAAGGGGTTCCACAACGCTCCGACACATGAGCGCTTTCAAACCTCTTGCTCCCCCACGCGTTCCCCGAAGGCTCTCCAAACCCACTCGGGAAACAACTGGCCCGCTAGCGTGGCCAGGCTCTAGCCCTGCTGTCAGCCACGTAGGCGCTTCCACAAGGGCAGGGGGCGGCGGTGATTCGCCGTAGGCGTCTTCGAAAATCATTATTCTGCGTGCGCGGCAAATACTGAGAACGTCAGCCCAAGAGGCCCCGAAAAGGCCACCAAGACATCCTCACGAAGCTCCAGAAGAGCTCCAAGAAGCCCTCCAAAGGCACAAGAGAGGCCCTCAGGAGTAACACGCAACAACCACCAGTTCCCAAAGGGGTCGGCGGTGTGGCGTAAGCCCAAGAATCCACGTCCGGAAGTGACGTGCTGAGCGGCAGCGTTTTCCGCGGATGCTCTAATGCAGTGGATCTAACGTGTCACATGTTTGCACAATTTCCACATACTTTATTGCGTTACATTATTATGTATCCCCCCCTAACCCCCCCTGTGAGCTGCGCCACAGGAGCGGACCAAAGTGGCCCCCCCCTCCCGGGGCTCAAAAACCTACCAAAACCTATAGAAAATCTATGATTTCGACCTCTTGGGCCTCTTGGGGGGCCAGGAGGGCGCCAAGACGGCTCAAGATGGGCTCTGTGCGGGCCAAGACGGCCCAGAGACGGTCCAAGATGGCCCCACGAGGGCCCAAAAAGCTCCAATGACAGCCCAAGTGGGCCCCAAGAGCGCCCACAATTGCGCCTCCAGAAGCCAAAATCACTGATTTCCCTATGGTTCGGTAATCTTTTAGCGTTGTCGCCTTGGCGGCCCAGGCAGCTTCCTAAATCGCTCCACAACATCCCAAGAAACCCCCAAGAAGGCCCCAGTACGGCCCAACAAAACCCCAAGACGGCCCAAAGAGGCCCCCAAGACGGTCCAAAGGGTCGCCGGCCCAAGAGGACCCCAAGACGGCCCCAAGGCGGCCGCGAGAGGCCCCCAAGACGGCCTCCGAAGGGGCGAAACGGCGCAAAAACGCCCCAATCCGGCCAAAGACGCCCCCAAGAGGCCCCAAGAGGCCCCCAAGAGGCCCCCAAGGGGCCCGAAAAAGCTCCCAAGAGGCCTCCAAGAGGTCTTCAAGAAGCCTCCCAAAGGCTCCAAAGAAGCCCCCCAAAGGCCACACAGCGACTGGAGTGTAATGCCATTTTTCCAACCTGGGCGAACTGCGGCGCAGCGCCAGCCAGGTGGAAGTTGGTCGCAGCGGCGCCCATGATTAGAGCCGGCGCTGGAAGGAAATATGGGGAGGGAGTATGAAATAGAGGGAGGGGGTAGAGGCCCCCAAAAAGCCCCCAAGAGGCCCAAGGAAACTCCCAGGAGGCCTCCAGGAGGCCCCCAAGAAGTTCCCAAGAGGCTCCGCGACGACGTGACTGTACGTGCTCCGGACGTGCACCCCGCGAAGCGAGAGGAATCCACGTCCGGAAGTGACGTGCTGAGCGGCAGCGTTTTCCGCGGATGCTGTAGCGCAGTGGATCCAATGTGTCCAATGTTTGCATACTTCCCACATAATACTTTATTGTGTTACATTATTATGTATCCCCCCTACCCCCCCCTGGGAGCGGCGCCACAGGAGCGGACCAAAGTGCCCCCCCCCTCCCGGGGCCCAAAAGACCCACCAAAGACTATAGAAAATCGAGATTTCGACCTCTTGGGCCTCTTGGGGGGCCAAGAGGGCGCCAAGACGGCTCAAAATGGGTTCCGTGTGGGCCAAGACGGCCCCGAGACGGTCCAAGATGGCCCCAAGAGAGCCCAAAAAACCCAGATGACGGCCCAAGAGGGCCCCAAGAGCGTTCACAACTGCGCCTCCAGAGGCCGAAATGATTGATTTCCCTATGGTTTGGTAATTTTTCAGCCCAAGAAGCCCCCCAAAGCGACCCAATACGGCCCAACAGAACCCCAAGACGGCCCAAAAAGGCCCCCAAGACGGTCCAAGGGGCCGCTATGATGGCCCAAAGAGGACCCCAAGACGGCCCCAAGGCGGCCGCGAGAGGCCCCCAAGACGGCCTCCGAAGGGGCGAAACGGCGCAAAAACGCCCCAATCCGGCCAAAGACGCCCCCAAGAGGCCCCAAGAGGCCCCCAAGAGGCCCCCAAGGGGCCCGAAAAAGCTCCCAAGAGGCCTCCAAGATGCCTTCAAGAAGCCTCCCAAAGGCTCCAAAGAAGCCCCCCAAAGGCCACACAGCGACTGGAGTATAATGTAATTTTCCCCCCCTGGGCGAACTGCGGCGCAGCGCCAGCCAGGTGGAAGTTGGTCACAGCGGCGCCCATGATTAGAGCCGGCGCTGAAGGAAATATGGGGAGGGAGTATGAAAACGAGGGAGGGGGGAGAGGCCCCCAAAAAGTCCCCAAGAGGCTCACAGAAGCTTCCAGGAGGCCTCCAGGAGGCCCCCAAGAGGCTCCCAAGAGGCTCCGCGACGACGTGACTGTACGTGCTCCGGACGTGCACCCCGCGAAGCGAGAGGAATCTATGCGGAATCCGCCTCCTCCTCCTCCTCCTCCTCCTCCTCCTCCTCTTCCTCCTCCTCCTTCTCGGGGCATGGTCCTGAGACAGAGGCTCGTACCTCCTTGCCCCAGCCAGGCACCCACTGCGCTGGCCTCCCGCTCGAAAAGTTTCCCCTGCCGCACTTGGGGCCGAGAGGCGGCGGACTCCAGCGAAAGGCGCACGCCAGAGGCGTACGCGAGATGCTGGACTTTGAACGCCCCGCCCGCCACACCCCGCGCGATTGGCTGCCGCCTTTCTGGGGTTCCTCCGTGCCCCCCCCCCCTCGGCTCGCCTGCCCCAGCCAGCCGCCGATGAAGTGCTTGGTGCAAGACACCCGCAGGGGGCAGCCGCACACGCAGCCACACTCCCGTGCCTGGGTGTGGGCACCCTGGCAACCGCCGGTCTGCTTTTTCATGCCGCGGCGCCAGAGGCCTCGACCGCTTGATGGCACCAGGACCCGAAGGTGGCCCAGAGGGTCAACCTCGGGTAGAAAAGCCCAGACTGAAAATATCGGATGCAGCGTGCCGGGGCCCAGGACGGCCCCTGCGCTGGGCGTGGCGGCGGTGTGCAGGTGCCCCTGCGCAGGACAGCCTGGTGGGCCTGAACCTCAGCGCCGGGGACTGCGCCGGGTGGAGGGGCATCAGCACGCTCGCCCTCGGCCCGCCAGCGGACGAGAGCCCGCTGCCCTGCAGCAGCGGATGGGCGGGAGGCCCCCGCGCACACCAGTCCAGTGCTGCCCCCCTCACCTCCCCGTCGGCCACGCGCAGGAGTGGCCCTACAGCCAGCCTCGAGCTCGTCGCTGTCCTCAAGATCGACAAGCCCACTGGCGGTGGAAATCTCAGGGATGTGCCCTCAGAAGCTAAGGGGAACCGTCGGATCCACATGTCGCCGCGCCGTTTGTCCTCGACGCGCCCAAGAATGGACGACGCCGACACCACGGCAAACTCATGGCAAGCTCTGCGCCCCGCGCCCAAGGAGACAGCGCCGGCACCGCGGCAAACCACACGGCAAGCCCTTCGTCCGAGGCGGAATTGGTCCTGGTGGCCGCGGCGCCCTCCCCAAGACGTAAAGCCGCGCGTCGGAACAAACGGCGCGGCCACACGTCGAGAGAAGGTGATGCAAATCACAGGGACAACTAGGGACAACTAGGGACAACTAGGGATATTTTTCGGGCCGGTAACTCCTGGCGGCAGGAGTGACCTCTGGTGTACAGCTTGCCAGTCCTTGCATGCCTTGCGGCCGTGGTGGCCTGCGAGCATGGGGTTGCCCCACCCCGAAAGCCGCGCACCAAAGGTCACTCTGGAGAAAGTTCTCTCTCACGCGTAACCGATCCTCCAATACCACCATGCCTGACCGCTGGGGCCGTCGTGAGCCCTGGTACGGTGGACGCGACCTCCTGGCCGAAGCCTGGGAGTGCCTGCGCACCATCCCTTGGTGCACCTTGGCCCTGGCCACGCGCGGCGGTGCACAGATGCCTTCTGCTGATCCCCCACCCCCTCATCCCTCCACCCTCGCCGGTGCTCGGCGGTGGCGCAAGTGGTATAGTCTCGCATCCTGTGCGCCGTCCGCCGCGTGCCAAGCTCTGTCCGAGCACGCACTCCGCGGAGCCGCCCCGTCGCATCATCGACCACCTTCGCCCCCACTAGCGCGAGGAGGAGGGGAGGGGCAGAGGACAAGCTAGGTGCGCTCGCGTCATATCTGACATCCTACCCCTCCCTCCCATCCCTTACCATGGCGTAGATCCCTTTTCTACTCGCACAGTCGGATGTTGAGCAGGGCAATGATCCCGAAAGGGTACGCGATGCATTGTAGAGCACGGCATGGCATGGCGTAGACGAGCACCGCAAAACGTAGTATGTCACAGCATGGCGTGGCGTGGCGTAGTGAAGAATTGCATCACAAAGCTTTGCAACGCAAAGCATGGCATCGCACAGCGGCCCCGAACATAACATTGCATAGCATGGCGTTGAAGATCAAAGCGTAGCATGGCATAGCATGACGTGGCACTTACGCACTGGATATGACAGCTGCAGCTGAAGGCATGGCATCGCGCAGCGGCACGCAACCTCGTATTGCATTGCATGCCGTGGCATGGCACGGGAAATGACGCCAGCGCTGCAGCGGGAGCACGATTTGGAACGACCAGCGGCGCGGAAAATAGGACGAACGCTGCAGCGGGAGCAACATTCTGAAGGACCGGAAAGACTCGGATTTTCAAAAACATAAATGAAAACCAAACTCCCGGGAATCCTGTGCGGAAAAGGACGCCGCCCAAAAGGGGGGGGGGGCTTTCTGCGGCCCCAAAAATCAACGAATCGACACCGGATGTGTAATCACCTCCAATGTTTTTGCCGGGGATCATTTTCTAGATTTGGGGCTTCTTAAAAAGGATCGAAAACGTCGGCGCTGCAGCGGGAGCACGTTTTGGAACAACGAGAGGCGCAGAAATTGGGCCAGCGCTGCAGCGGGAGCACGATTCGGAACGAGCGGGAGCGCGGAAATGAGGCCAGCGCTGCAGCGGGAACACGATTCGGAAGGAGCGGGAGCCCGAAAATTAGGCCAGCGCCTCAGCGAGAGCAGCATTTTAGAAAAAAACACAAGCGAAAACCCAACTCCGGGGAATCCTGTGTGTAAAAAAACAGTACGCGGGGGGGTGCCGAATATCTTCCGGACGCCATCAGGGGAAGTGGGAGAGTAGTATTCATATTGTGTAATTGTGGAGGAGCGGGCAGTGGCTGGTGGAGCAGGGGCCTCCCCGTGGACATGGTGCTCCCGGTATGGCTGCGTCACCTCCGCGTAATCGTCCGCGCGCTCGCCCCCGAGCCGCACGTGCGGTGCCCGCGAGTCTCCGAGGCGGTCGCAGGCGAGGTATACGGACCTGAGGCAGGCGATCTTCACTGGCTTCTCCGCATTCAGCTTCTTCCAGTCGATCGGCTCGTTCCTGGACCCTGGCTGCAGCGTCCTCTTCGCGGCGGCCTCCGTCATGTTCGGGCCGTACGCGGGCCCCAGGGAGTAGACGTCCTGCTCCTGCACTCTAAGCGGGAACTCGGGATAGCCGAGCCTGGTGTCGAACTGGAAGAGCCCATTGTGCACCATGTTCAGCTCTTTCTCGGTCATCTCTCTCTTGCCCACCTCGACCTTCACGCAGCCGTACGCCGCAGGATACAGCACCACGGGTGAGCAGCCCCAAGGCCCAGACGTCAAGCGGCCGGACGTCTACAGTGGGCCCGAGAATCTCTCGCTTCCGCTCTCTTGGGCTGGCCTTCCGACACAGAGTTGTCTGCTCACCGCCGGTGGAGTCCGAAATCTGCCTCCAGAGGCCCCACCAAAAAGGCGAAACACTGCTGACAGCCCAAGTATTGCATTGAGGTCCCTCGGAACTGGCCTCTCGCCCCGAATCGTTTCTTGACCACCCATGGCCCATGGGGCCCACAACTGGCCTCCAGAGACCCCCAACAGAAGGCGAAGAACCGGCTGCCCAGATGCAGCTGAGGGGGGGGCGGGGGGGGGGCCGCCCGGCTTGGCACGACTCGGGGGCGGCGGCCTCGCGGGCCGGGCCCCAGGCCGCAGCCCCGTGGAAGCGGGGCGCTGCTCCGCGGATGCCCCGCGCGGAGCGTACCCGTGCAACCGTGCACCCTCGGGACCGCGCAGACCGCGAGGGCGTGACTGTGGGGGCGTCCGCCGCTCGTGGCCGGCGGGAGGACGCGCTGTCCCTTGCAGCCTGGCCCTGCCCGCTTCGGCAGGCCCCCCGTGGGGGCCTCCTGCGCCTGGGGTGGGCCGGCAGGCCCTCGGGGCCGGGCCGGCGCCGCCGTCTGGCACAGGGGCCGCTTGATGGAGACCTCCAGCAGCTTCTCCTTCGGAGGAGGGCAGCTTGGTCGCTTAGCTTCGCACGCTGCGCCCCCACGGTGCACCCAGGAGGTCAGATTGGCGGCCCTGGCAGCGGCGCGCGAAGCGCGGTGATCCTCGCACCTGGGGGGGGGGGAGATCTGGTGAGGGGCGCAGCGGCATGTGCACTTTTCCCCAGCCGACAGGTTGGGGGCTGTTCGATATAAAGAAAAGAGCTCCCCTACACGCATCGCACACCCAGCATACAGCGGCCGCCAGGCCCAAAATGTGCCAGTGCTCAACTGGGCATCATGGCTCGTAGCTTCGACGAACGACGACTGCATGCCGCGGCCGCCAAACACAATTTGTGCCTACGCTCCGGGGGGATCCCGTGTCGTGGTCTTTGGTGTGGATCGCTCAAAGTTTGGAGGCGGCGGGGGATCAGAGCTGGACCCCAAGAGAATCTGCCAAGAGGAAGGGACAAAAACACATCCGCTCAAAATCGGTCCCCGAACCCATCCAGGGTTCCCTCTGGTGCAATTATTCCCGCTGGATCCGTTTCTGACGGTCCCAGGGCCCGAAAGCGATCCTGGAGGCCGGAAAGGGCAAAACACCTACTCGAACCCGGCACCTCGAACCTCCCCTCCCTCCCCACCCCTTTCTGCTGGCCGGAAGCAGTGTTGGGCCACCTCAGACCCCCGGCTGGCTCCAACTCGAAGCAACGTAATTATTTCCACCCGCGACCCAGCCTACGACCCACCCGCGACCCGCCCCGCGACCCGCCCCGCCACCCGCCCTGCCACCCGCCCCGCGACCCGCCCCGCGACCCGCCCCGCGACCCGCCCCGCGACCCACCCGCGACCCACCCGCGACACACCCGCGACACACCCGCGACACACCCGCGACCCGCCCCGCCGTCCACCCGCGACCCGCCCCGCCTTTCACCCGCGACCCGCCCCGCGACCCACCTCGCGACCCACCTTGCGACCCACCCCGCGCCCGCCCCCTCACTCTTATCCGCAAATATGGGGTGCAACGGAATTCTTTCTGCTCCCCCGCATCCTGCCAGTCGCGCCTCGCGTCCGGGTACGCGCGGTGCAGCTCCGCGTCGGCGCGGGCCCCGAGGTGCAGCAGCGCGGAGGACTTCAGGCCGCCCGGCATCGTGTGCTCGAAATAGGCCCGCCAGATGGCCCGGACGGGGCCGCGCTTCCTCCGGCAGTCGGGCCGGATGCCCTGCGAGGGCGGCCACGAGACCAAGAGGCCAGGCATCCCAGACTCCCGATGTCATGATGTGTATCATGACGTCGACCCCGTCTTGACCCACTCCCCGGGACCAATTTTTATCCTGCTTTCTTTTCGACGGTCCCGATGCCCAGCGAGGGTCCCCGGAGGCCGAACATCATAAAACACCTGCCGTCGTGATGTTTGTCGCGACTCGAGGGGGTCTGGGCTCCGAGGTCTCGATGCTGCTCGACCCTGGCGCTCCTCCCCCGCTTCGGCCGGCGGGGGCCGCCGAGCTCGGGCCAGCGTCAGCATCAGCCGTGGGCCCGGGACGCAGAGCCTCTAGAACCGCCCCCGGGGGAGGGGTCCAGAGCACTAGGGCCGTGGATCACTTTCGGTCGGTCGTTGGCTCGGCGGCGAGCGAGGGGGGAAGTGAGAAGGAGAAGGCCTTCTCAGAAGGTTCGGAAGTTACCCGGCCTTCTGAACAGCTGTTGAAGCCTCCCCCGGACACGCGGAAAACCTTTCAGAAGGCGCTAGGGCTTCTGAGAAGCCCCGCCGCCTTCTGAGAAGGCCTCCTCCCTCCCACTTCCCCCCTTGCTCGCCGCCATGGCGGGACTTGGTTTAGTGGGACCTTACTCAATGATGTGTACCGGGGATGCCCCCCCGTCCAATTCCGGTGACCGGAACTGCCGTCACCCGAGGAATCTCCAGCTGCGACGGACCTGGCTTGCAGTGATTCTGGTCAACTTTTGGGGGCTTCGAGCCCAATGACTGACCGCCTCCCCATGGCCCAGGGCCCTGGCTACATTCGATTCGGGCTGGACAGAGGCCCCTCAGCACAGCATTCCCAGTGAATGGGAGCAGCCTGTGGCCAGGCCCGACGGGGGCCGGCGCCGCCGAGAAAGGGTGGGCCGCCAGGTCCGCTCGAGAGGCAGAACAAGCACAGGTCCCGCTCATCGGCTTGGCAGCGTGGGGTTTCTAAAAACCTCGGGCATTGCCTAAGGCGGGGGGGGCGACAAATAGGAAGGGGGATCACCCGGTGACATACCCAGCCCTTTGAAAGCATGTGGCGACTACACACAGGACTGCTCACTACGACCGAAATTGTTGAAATACCTACAGAGGGCAGGAGCATTCCAGAGTGAGATCTGAAGGGCGCGGCAACGGGGGGACGCGAGGTCTCTACAGGGTGTGCGTAGAACTCCACTCCGCTGGACCTCTCAGGAGCCGTTCGCAGACCCCCCAGGGAGCAGCGAGGTCTTGGCTGGGTGTGCGTGTCTCCCCACTCCGCTGGGCCTCCCAGGAGCCCAGGAACGTGGCGACAGTTGCACAATCCACAGACCCCCCAGAGAGCCGCGAGGTCTCGGCTGGGTGTGCGTGGCCCCCCACTCCGCTGGGCCTCCCTGGAGCCCACGAACGTGGCGACAGTTGCACAGTTCGCAGGCCCCACAGGGAGCCTCGAGGTCTCGGCTGGGTGTGCGTGTCCCCCTACTCCGCTGGGCCTCCCAGGAGCCCACGAAAATGGCGACAGTTGCACAGTTCGCAGCCTCCAAGGGAGTCTCGAGGTCTCGGCTGGATTTGCGTGGCCCCCCACTCTGCTGGGCCTCTCAGGAGCCCACGAACGTGGCGACAGTTGCACAGTTTCAAACAAAAGAAAGGCGCGAACGAGGAAAAGGAAACGGAGGATGAGAAAAGCAGAGGGAAGCGGGGAGCGGGAGGAAAGAGGCACGAGGAAGAAGACTTGGACAGCACCAGTGCTACATTCAAAACGAGAACCCAGCCCAGGAGGGTTGGGGAAACACGTGGGCCTTTCGTGCCCCTTTGTGGCCCCATGGGGGACCCTTCAGGGCCCTGTTAAGGCACAAAAGGTGCACCTTTCGTTCCCCGCCCACCACGTGTTGCCCCCCCCACTGTGCAACGCCCGACAACCTCTGAATCACATTGCCGCCGGGTGTCTACCAAACCACCATGCCGCTGCTGCCCCGAACCCTGGGAGGCCCCCGGGACACAGGCGGGGGCTCAGAAACCGCGAGCTGGCACGGGCAAAGCGAAATCCCAACCGCGAACCCTTATCAATACAAATCGGCTTCGGATCTTTCGATGCTCGTTCAGCGCACCTTCCTGGAGCCACTCGCTCAACTCATGCGCCAATGCTGCGTCGACCGTTTGTCGACTTGAGTCGACCATGAGTCGAACTTGGCGTCGAACTAGAAACTAATTAGGTGAGCCCCAGGATCCAAAGATCCCGTCACTGGCCTGCCCCAGGTCGCCAAAGGGGAATGAGTCCCACAGCTCGAGCATCTCCTTGCTGTCCGCGACCCCGGGCGCTGGCGCGGCCCTCTCCTCGGCGAGCTCCGCCTCGAGCCTGGCGATCTCTGCGCGGAGCTCCCTGGTCTCCTCGTCCTCCTCGCCTGCGCCGTCCATTATATGGTGTAGCCGCCAGCTCAGGACCGCTGACCATACGATCACTCGAACTACAATGCATGCGGAGCGAGAGGAGGAGTGCGAGGAATTAGAGGAGGAGGAGGAGAAGGAGGAGGAGGACGAGGAGGAGGAGGAGGCAATGAGAGGCATGAAGAGGATGGAGGGAAGCAGGAGGAGACGGGGAGAAGGAAGAGCAGAGTTCCATATGGCGCCGCCCAGCAGCAGGTGCATAACTGCGGGAACAAGGAACTAGGGTGAAAGCAAGCGCCGCCGATGGAAGAGCGCACCTACTCGCGACAGCACTCCATGGAGAACTCCCGCAAGACTCTGTTGCGACTCTCGATGCGAAGGGCGGGGCGGTTGAAGCCCTCATTCCTGGCCCCAACATCCCATACAACCTCATGGTAGCATCGAGGAAAAGGCGCGAGGTTCTCCAGATCGCAATCGCCAGCACCAGCGTGCACGGGGAAGACCTGCAATGGATGAGACGCCACGCTTGGAGCAACGTGGGTCGCACGCGGTAGGACAATGCTTACCACAGACGCTGACGAGTAGCACTGCCCAACCGTGCTGCCAATCACAACGAGGCTCAAACTTATCTGTAATAACACATCGGAAGGGCGTATCCCTCGGTACGTAGAGGTCGAATTGCCAGCCCACACAAAAGATGAGAGAGGAAGCAAGAAACACGTCAACCCGAACCTCAAGGTGCTAAAACTCATCAAATCGTGAAGGGATATCACGAAATAAGCTTGCACATCGCATCAGCGTGCGGCCACTTGGAAATGAAACCTGCCTGTCTGCCTGAGTAGGAAGTCAAGCCAGACAGGAAGCTCAACACGAGAAGGTAGGGAGAAAACGAGTCCCGTCCTTCCCATTGCCCACCACTCATCCATCCTGCCCCTCCTTCCTCCATCCCAGTCCCTCCTCCTCCTCCTCCTCCTCTGCCTCCTCCTTCTCCTCCACCTCCTCCTCCTACTCCTCCTCCTCCTCATCATCAGCATCAACATCATCATCATCATCATCATCATCATCATCATCATCATCATCATCATCATCATCATCATCATCATCATCATCATCATCATCATCATCATCATCATCATCATCATCATCATCATCATCATCATCATCATCATCATCAGTAGCATAATCAGCATCATCGTCCTCCTCATCATCATCAGCATTATCATCATCATCATCATCATCATCATCATCAGCATCAGCATCGGCATCGGCATTAGCATCATCATCATCAGCAGCAGCAGCATCATCATCAGCATCATCAGCATCATCATCAGCATCAGCACCAGCATCATCATCACCAGCATCATCATGATGATCATCATCATCATCATCATCATCATCATCACCATCACCATCACCATCACCATCACACCATCATCATCATCATCATCATCATCATCATCATCATCATCATCATCATCATCGTCATCATCATCATCATCATCATCATCATCATCATCATCATCATCAGCATCCCCCATCCTTCCCCCAGTGTGTCCCTCCTTCTCCTCCTGTCCACCCCTCTTTCTCCATCTCCCTCCCTCCTTCTCCATCCTCGTCTCCACTCTTCATCCTTCCTTCCCCCTCTTTCCCTCTCCTTCCCCTCTCCTTCCCCCTCCCCCCTTCCTCCCCACTCCCCTCGTCCCACTCCTGCCCACCCGCTCTCCCCCTCTTCCTTGCTCCTTTGAGCCTCGGCCTACCCGCGAAAGACGCCCACGTCGGCGCCGAGGACGAGAACGACGGCGACAGCGACGAGGAGGAGAAGGATGAGGAGGAGGACGAGAATGACACCGACGACCAGGAGGGCGACGAGGATGAGAACGACGAGGACGAGGACGAGGCTGGCGGCGGCGGCGGCGGCGTAGCGCGCCTGCGGCAGCGCCCGCGCCCTGGGGGGGGGGACGGCGCGACCGCCCCCACCTTGGGCGCCGAGGGCGCACACCCCAGCAAAGGGGGGGGCCGCTCGCTTTCGAGCCGAAGGCGGGGGGCGCATCGGCGGTGGCGAGGGGGACCTGATCTGGACTCGGCGGGAGCGGATCGCGCCCCTTGTTTGATCCCGGCCAGCGGGCTGGCCCGAAGCAGCCCCGGACAGGGCAAGGCATGGGTTGCAGGGCGAAGCCGCTGCGGAGGCGGGAGAATGCTGGACAAGAGCGATAAGGAAGAGGATGAGGAGGAGAAGAAAAAGGAGGATGAGGCGGAGGAGGAAGAGGAAGAGGAAGAGGAGGAGGAGGAAGAGGAGGAGGAGGAGGGGGAGGAGGAGGGGAAGAGGAGGAAAACAATGAGGGCGAGGGGGATGGCGGTGAAGTAAGACAGAGGAGGGGAATGAGGAGGGGATGAGAGGAAGGGATGTTGGGAGAAGGAGGAGGAGGGAGGGAGAGAGGAGGAGGAGGAGGAGGAGGAGGAGGAGGAGAAGGAGAAATGTTCTTTCACCAGCGCTCCAAGAAACCAATGGGAAATTTCCAGTTCTGCCGCGAAGATGCACCGAAGGGTATCCGAAGAGAACCCGCGAAGCATCCAACACGCCTCGGACCCACAACCCAGGCACGGAGGCAGGATGCGCTGTCGGAGCTTCGGTGGGTGTCTGCTCCAGGGAGTGTCCTTTTTTGGCTGGCCGCCACTGCTTCTTCCCGAAGCGCGGTTCGCGCGACAGCTCAGGAAAACGATGACCGCCCACAACTTTCTCAGCCCCGCGAGCACGCAGGCAAGGACCATTGACGATACGATGTGGGCTGGCGCAGCGAGCTAAGCGATTGATCAGTCCTTCACGTACTTGATGTCGTTACGAACCGTACTGAGCCCAACATCGTATGCGGCGGCAGAAGCCTTGAACCGAACGGCCTGTTCGCCCATCCATGCATCGCCACTGAAGGACCTTCGGACCTCAGGATACCTGCCGATTCTGGCCCACAGGTCCTCCTGCCAGATATGCTCATCTCCATGCAATGCCAACCCATCGCCTGGGTTGATGCTTGCGCCAAGGTTTCTCTCTTCATGATTGTGCGTGCCTCCTCGGAATACTCTGCGGATCCCTCCTCGGAGTCTGCGGCAGAACCCGCGGAGGCCTCGATGGGCATATCCTAGTGGTGGACAATCACACATCCTGGACGCGATGGCAACGTCAACGATGAGCTCCAATAATCAACGACGCCGTACGAAGGGAGACCATCACGGAAGCCAGCGCTTCCAAACGAACCGAACAAGCAGATTCGACTGACAAGCCAGGGTGACTTCGGAATCCGCCCCTTCTCCCGATCAGCCGCAGGCGCACATGGCCGACTCCAGAATCCCTGTATCCAAAAATGTGGACGTCTCACTATAACCAACCCGTGTAATAAGGCCGCACGTTGATGATGCAATGGCCTTGAAGGTCATGTCGGCACTTTGCGGGCGTGGCGCGGCCAGCGAATCGGCAAAGGATGGGGCGAAGAAGAAAGATGCAAGGGTAACCTCAGAACGTGGCTCATCCTTACAATGCGGGTAGACTGCATTGCTTCCGCTGGCGGAGCCGCCGTTGTTTTGTGTGTGCCGTTGTTCGCCGGCCATCCGCAGCGGGCGAGGCCCTTCCTGGAGCCCGCCAGATAGGAGGAGGAGGCGGAGGAGGAGGCGGAGGATGATGAGGAGGGGAAGGAGGAGGAGGAGGAGGACAAAGGGGAGGAGGAGGAGGAAGAGGAGGAGGAGGAGGAGGTAGAGGAGGAGGAAGAGGAGGACGAGGGAAAAAGGAGTTGAAGGAGAAGGAGAAGGAGGAGGAGGAGGACCAGTGTAAGCCCAAGGGTCATCAACGATGTTGGAATAAACCCACCTTAAAGCTCCCTCTTCACAGGCCCCTACAAGGGCTCATTTCCATTGAGGGACCTGCCTTGTTGGAAGACAACCGTTTGAAGACCCTGAGGCATGCCAAAACAATGTTCTCGTGATTCCAACGCCACGGATCAACCTGACTATTACGTGTTGACGATCCACACAACGAATCAACGTAACTGTTGTGCCCACGTAGTCCTGAATCCTTTCAGAACGCCATGCCTGGTACGCTGATGATGGGAATCCGCGAAACTCTTCCAACTTTTGTAAACGAATGTGCGCGGCGCTAAGACGAGAACCACATTTAGAAAAAGAACCGCCCTCGAACCGTGAAACTCTTGTAAGTGTTTGAAAGAATGTGCGCCGCACTAAGGCGAGTGCCACATTTTGAACAGGAGCCGCCCTCAATCCGTGAACTTTGAAACGAATGCGCGCCGCGCTAAGGCGAGAGCCACATTCTGAAAAGGAACCGCCCTCCATCCGTGAAGCTCTTGCGAGTTTGTGAAACGAATGTGCGCCGCGCTCAGCCGAGAACCGCAGTTTGAAAACGACCCGCCCTCCATCTGTGAAACCGGTGTCAATTGTCAAGTTTCAGAGGCATACGTGGTGAGGAAATCTCAGGCGAAACGCCCGGTCGGCCCTAAAAACAGGCCTCGGGGTGCGGCAGGGAGGAATCATTTGCAAGGAAAAGGGATTGAGAAGGAGGAGGAGGAGGAGGAGGAGGAGGAGGAGGAGAAGGAGGAGGAGGACGAGGAGGAGGAGAGGAAGGAGGCTCAGGAGGAGGAGGAAGAAAGGGAGGAGGAGGAGGAGGAGGATGTGAGGGAGAAAAATGAGAGGGGACTATGGCTCATGGGGGAACATCGGCCTGGAATCGGGGAGGCATCTCCGATAGATCGGCGATAAGCCCATGGTAGCAAGCCCGTGCGTTCCAGGGCGGGGCGGGCTATCAGGTCCCGGTCGGCAATGCATGGGCGATTGGATATCGATGCGTCCCCCCCCCAGGCCCGCCTTTCCGAGGGATGAGCGGCTCAGCGGCTCAAGCCTTCACGACGTACGAGGGCAAGCGGGGAGAAGGTGGAGCAAGAGGGGGATCAAAAGCGACCAATTTGGGAAGCCCGAAATGGGTACGGAAAAATGGGTGCAATGCCCAACAATACATGTTGTCCCAAACCAACAGCGGCCGCTGTCGGGCAGGCGGCCTTCTGTCTCAAATGTACACAGGCCGCGGCGACACTGACAGCGAGTCCTGTTCAAAATGAACAAGAAATGCTGTTGGGCATTGTACCCATTCTTTCCGTACCCATGTCGTTCGTGCCGAACGATAAGGGCGAATAGCTCAGGGGAAAACAGCACATGGATTCAAGTGCGCCGATGATATACGTCTTCGAAAAGGCTCCCGGGCGAATGCGTGTAATGCCCGCCCCTGGGCTATTCGCCCCTATCGTCGCCGCCGGGGGGGGAGGAGAATAAAGAGGAGGCCGGCGGCCGGAGGGAAAGAAGAGAAGGGATGACTGGACTGGACTGCCACCTGAAGTGCCGATGTCGCCCTGACGGTCAAGAATATCATTGAGATACTCGTCACAAAAGCAGGTTGGGGACTCGAAACCTTGTCCCGAACCGTAAACCTCCCGGCACGGCGAGCCTGTATAAGTAACGACCCTAGCGGGCGGGTCGCAAGGCATAGGGCGGCGCCTACGGAATCGTCGCGACCCCAGGTTCGCCCAAGCGGACCCCGACGCACGGGGAGTCCACGGGGAGCATTCGCAGGAGGAGGGATGAGGTGGAGAAGGAGGACGACGGAGAAGAGAAGTAGTAGAGGGACATGAGAGGAGACAGAGTGTGTGGAGAAGGACGGGAGGAAAGAGGAATGGGGAGGAGGGGGGAAACCAGGGGGGCGTGCCAAGGAGACTCCTCGAAGGAGAACGAGAAGGGGGAGATGGTGGACCAGGAAGGAGGAGTGGGAGGAGGAGTGGGAGGAGGAGGAGGAGGAGGAGGACGAGGAGGAAGAGGAGGAGGAGGAGAATTGGACGGAGGAAGAGGAGCAGCAGACTATAAGGAGGATGAGGAAGGGAGGAGGGGCTGGGTCGGAAGCACGAGCACGACCACAACGAGGTGTCAGCCTCCGGGCGGGCGCTGATGGCCAGTCGTCCGCGCAGCCGAGAGGACCTAGATCGGGATCGACCAAGAGGGAGGCGTCCAAGAGGGGGAGATCGGAAATCAAGGCCCGAAGCACGTGCGCGGACGAGATTGGGACGAGGGGGCGCGTGGAAAGAAGAAGGGGGGTCCATGAAATCCGGGAAAAAACCCTGTCCCAACCACCTCTCCTCGGCGGGCTTCTCATCCCGAGCCGTCCCGGGGCAGGTCTAGAAGGCAGAAAGGGAGGGAGGAGGAGAGGGGGAGCAAGGACAAGCTGGGTGCGATCGCGCCTTCCGCCCGCCCCTGCCCGTGGCGCAGATTGGTACTCTATCCGCGGACGCGCGTCATAGCGGACCTGACGCTCCAAACAAGGAGCCCCACCGTGTCCTGCGCAATCGGGGAAAAGGGGAGCTGCATACATTAGTGGAGGAGGAGGTGGCAGATAAGCAGGAGGCAACAAAGGACAAGGAGGGGGAGGCAGGAGGTACAAGGAAAGAGGAAGGAGGAATGAGGGGGGAGGAGGAAGAGGGCGGACGACGAGGAGAAGAGGGAGGACTGCGACGTTAGGAGGGGAAAGAGAGGGGCCGGGCGCAGCCATCGGGGCGGGCTGCCGCCCGCCACGAGGTCGACGAGGACGGCGGAGGGGGCGGTATCGGCGCGAGGGCCACGGGACGTATTTTTCAGCACTGAAGGATGCTCTGGAGTATTGCGATATGTTCGTCGTATTGCCGCACGCCGCGCGCTCCTCCGCCGCAAGCCGACGTGGCCAGGCCGCAAAGCCGGCGTCGCCAGGCCGCCTCCTGCTCAGCCTCATCCTCCTCGTCATCCATCTTTCTCCATCCTCCATTGCACATCGTACCCCCTGGCCCCTATCCTTCACCTTCTCGTCCTTCTTACCCCCCTCTTCTTCCTCCTCTTCCTCCTCTTCCATCCTTCTCGCTCTTACTTGCTCCTCCCTCGTCTAATTATGGTTCCCCCTGCTCCCCTCCTCTCCACTCCCTCCTCCTGGTCCTCCTCCTCCTAGTCGTCCTTCTCCTCCTCGCTCCTTCTTCTTCCCTCCAGGCGTCAGGCCGCTTGCCTCAACAATGGGCCACACCAGCCCTGCCAGTACAGTCAGGTGCACGCGCGCGCGGGAAGTACATGCTCTCGGGTCGTGGGTTCACAGGCACCCCCCCGACAATATGGGATGGGCCCCAGGGTTCCACGTCCCCTCCCCCCCCCAGGTGGGATGAGGGTGGACGCCGACGCCGACGCCGACGCCGACGCCGCCGACGACGCCGACGACGACGACGACGACGGCGACGGCGACGACGACGACGGCGACGACGACGACGAGGACGCCGTGGACGACGAGGACGACGGACGACGAAGAAGAACCACCCCACACCCACAGGGGGGAGGCGGGAGGTGCACCGGCACCCTTCACCACGCCACGCCCACAGGGCCACGACCACAGGGCAACGACCCCAGGGCGGGAGGGGAACGATCCCATTCGCGAGGCCCTCGCGAGGCTCACGAGCGTACCCATCCAGCAGGGGGGGGGCTCGATTCCATATGCATTTGCGGGAGGGGGCATCCCTGGATACATGCTCGGCGACGTCGGCGGCGTTCGGAAGACGGCGGAAGCGCATGGCTGTCAAAGGGGTCGGAATCGGCGCCTTTCCCTGAGCTGCTGGCCACAGCATCCCCAACATGGCTGAACATGTCAAACGTTTTGTCCTAGGCCCGTGTGCAGATAGAGGCCTTCCATATTGGGTCGGAGTAGATGGGGTCGCAGGATGGTGCCGCATCGTCGGAGACGTCGGCGTGGAGGAAATCGAGCTCCACATCGAGCCGCATAACCGATGCATCGGCGATTTGGCGAGTTCCTCCGACCCACCTTACTCCGACCCCATGCAGGAGGCCTGGAATGGCAA